AGATGGTTTCACTGACTTTACAGCAAGTACACTTTGGAGATACTTAGCATTTAAAAAAATAGGTGCCATTTTACTGTTCTGCAGAAGCCCTCATTTCCTGATAATTTTTAATGGTATCATAGGACACTGCAATGTAAGGATAGCAAGCACACAGTTAAATGATGAGACCTTGGTTGGTCCAGCCAGGCCAGGTCAATCTCCTCTGCATCTTTAGTAAGCTACTTTTTATCTGGATTTAAGCTCTAGAAAAATCACATGTGAGGATAGCAGGATAGGAAACTCTCTCCCTGGCCCAAAAATGGGGAGGGGACTTCTTCCTTCTATAATTTTTTTCTATCCAAGTTTTATGTCTCTTGTTTTCTTCATCTTCAGTTTTCAGTAGGAGAGCATGCAAGATAATCAAACAATGTATGGATGTATGATAGCCATCCTTTTATTGGTTGTCTAAGACCTCAATTCCCGCAGTGGCTGAGGCACTGACCATAACTTTCAAATAATCACTAAGTGTAGTCGTTATGCACAAAGAATGTATTTTTAGCCAAGGATTAAAACTATTATTGGACTTTATGGATCAGGAAGTGATCTTGGATATAGAATTTTGGGTCATTGTGGGATGGGGCATTTAACAAAATGAATATTTAAATATCATCCTTTCTATGGTATATTTTTCACTACAGGTTGTTTAATGGGAGGTTTCTGGCTCCCACTGCTTGCAATTCAAATAAGGAGAAGCGGTTCTGTCAGATGCTGATAATGTATCACACCTAAAGAAAGCAGTTTGAGCTAATTATAGTGGAATAATCCAACATCCTTCTTTCTGTATAAATGGCATGTGCTAGTTATGCAGCCATATTACAGAGGAAGCGCAACCTTTGCAGAATAATATGCTAACAAAGGAGAACAGAAAATCCTTCTAAGAACTTGAGTCACATATTCCTCTACATTAGACAACAGTTTCCAAAATAACCATATTCGTCCTATGTGGAGATGGAAAATTTGTTTACTTCCAGTTTGTTCCATTCGGTACTTCCTTAGTCCTCATATATACCAAATTTTTACAAAGCACATATTCAATATTTATTTTGTTTCACTGTGTATAGTTTATGTTGATAAGTTTTATATGTCTGTACTGTTGTGAATAGTATTGCAAATTTTTGATATGTGTGAAATCTGGCAAGTAAATAAGTCCACCTGTCATATCACTTTGAAATAACAATTTGTTTTGTCTACTAATTTATAAATATCAGATTCCCAAAGTTGTTCAAATACTGAGCAATTAATTGTGGTGTCAGGCAATTCATCATCTTCTACCAGCAGCAATCTCCATCTTCCCCTTCATATTAAAGTGTTGGTTGCTATCTGATGAATATGTGCCATTTCCAATAGTGTTGAACCACTTATGAGCAAAAAGACCGAGGTTATACCTGAGTCCAAAAATTTGTAATACAGTAGAAGCTATATGACATTAATGGGCAAAAGGACCCAGCAGGCCCATAGCCAGGATTTTGATTTGGGGGGGGGGGGCTGAGTTTGATTCGGGGGGGGGGCTGAGTCTGCATATGGAAATATTGAGCAGGGTGATCAGATCATGATATGAATAAACATAACAGTTGAAATAATGTACCAGTAAGGCCTTCTCGCGGACCACCATGAGAATTTCGGGGGGGGGGGGGCTGAAGCCCCTACATGCCTGGGACCCAGCTATACTGTGTTGGCAGATTAACGATAGGAAATAATTTTATTGGTCTACTTATGACAGTCCACCAGAAAAAGTAGGCTTTAGAAGAGGATCTGGGCTTGTGTCGACTCTAAAGAACTGTTATAGTTGTGTGAGTTTAAATCATTTCTTCATAGGTTCATTTTAGGGTCACCTTAGATTAGAAATGATTTGAACTCACACAACTATAACTGTTAACATTCTATTCTCCTTTTTCTGAATAAAGACAGTGATAATTTGTGCATATCAGTTAGAGCAGTCAGTTTCAACAACTAGTTCTCATTTATTGGAATTACAATATTTTTCCATTTCTGCGCGCTTATTTTGCTGCCTTGGTCATATATCAAAAGCATTGCATAAATAAATAAGTTTAAAACTGATACAATAAAGGGAGCACAAGCAAGCTAAATAGTTTCAGACCCAAAACGGGAAACAGTGACTGCATTGTCTATAGCTTTAAGCAGTTCTTCCTCTGTGTGTGAGGCAGGGCATTGTGGACAAGCATACAGATGCTGGGTTGTTCATTCTGCTCCACAATAACACAAGGTGGAGGATTCTTCTAGGTTGTGCCATTTTGCCAGGTTGTCTTTTGATCTGCCAACTCCACTTCTGAGTCTGTTCAGGGACTTCCAAGTTGCCCATTCTTGGTTTACCCCTGGAAGAAGACCCTCGTGGGGGGCATCCAGTTGAAATTGCCTGATTTTGCTGCCCACAGGGATATTCTTGCTGTTGCTGGGGAAACTATGAGAAGTGGTGGTTATCATGAAACCTTTCCTTGATTTAAGTCTACTGGGAGGAGACTGATAGCTATACAGTGGGTGACTTTCACAGTGTTCAACCTTATTTCTCTCGCAATTGGCAGCAACCTCCTGTCACACATTTGGGGGGAGGGGCAATGCCAACTAGCTTATAAAGTTTATCAGCAGGTGTAGAACATCCTGTGATTATTCTACATGTCTACATTCAGTGCTATATTCACCTACTTCACATGGGCATATTTATGCCAGATGGGGCATACTCAACTCAGCAGTTGAGTAAGAGAAGGCCAGGGTTGATGTTCTTATTAATTTTGAGTCTACACCTCCTGCACTATTAGTAAATTTCTGCATATGCACAAATAAATAAACAAACAAAGGTTTAAAACCAAAGCTGCTACTTGAACAAATACTCCCAATCCGGAACAGTCGCCATCACTCATTTTAAAGCAATGAAAGGCAACAGAGTTCCCAGAGCTGCAGAGAGGCCATGAGACAACTGAGGTTAAACCATAGGTCTAAAACGCCATATAGTTGATCCCCAAAGGAACACAAATCTACAATGAAATCATAAGGGTCCAGATTCCTGGAGACACTCTGTTGAACAAATTGTCAACTTCTCTGAAATATTTTTGCCTGCGTGAGAGAAGAAATATCATCACCTTCAGCAATACCAAATAAACAAATGCAGACAAAAACATTTGTATGTATGTGTTCAAAAGTGTTGGGTTTTGCATTTTTTAAAAAGTTTATTTGATAGCTCAGGTATATAGCCAGAACATGAAAGCATTGCCATTCCTAAGAGTGATTGCAGACCAAGCCCAAACTGGTGTTCTCACATAACCCAACCATGTAGGGACTATGGCTCCAATTGTTGAAGGGGAAGAAAAGGAGGATTGTCATGATCAGTTAATCCTTGTGATCTTCTTCAGGCAGCCCTGCATCTGTTTCCAGTTACTTAACATGTATATCACTTGGCAGCATGGTTTATGTGGCAGCATGGTTTACATCAGTCTTATCTGCACTATATTTATGTGAAGCAAGATAGGTAAAGGCTTCCCCAAAACTACCTGGTGAACTTACGTTAGCAAGAGGACTACTCTGGCTAACATGAGCTTCTTGCTGTTCATTTAATTTTAACTGAATAAAGAAGCAAGCAAATTTGTGAATTGGTAATATGTAACTGTGCCTTAAAGAACCACTTTCATTCTTGCACATGTATCATTTCTTGAATAATATTATGGATTCTTCTGCATGTAAATTTTATTTTAGACAATGTTGCACCTTGTAGTATTCCTGCTTTGCTTCTCCCTTTTGAATGAGAAATGGAAAAAATGTAAGAAACCATGGTTCATTATCACTATCATTGTGTTTGAACCAGAAACTATGATTAATAGATCCCAAAAAGCCAGAATTTGAAAGTAAACTTCATGTTTGGAAATAATTAACCATAACTTTCCAGTTTTAGCATAATGGGAAGGTGTGGTTAGCTGTAGCTTATTGGTTTATTACCCTCTTCGCATGTGTGGACAAAGGAGCTGACTCATATCCTGATTTATTAGTGTTTGATAATCTTAAACCAGTAACTGGGTATGCGATGATTCCCACAACCATTCAAAGCCAATGAAAGATTTGCTGCTGATTTCTGTAGGATGATTTTCACATTCATTGTCAACCTCAGACATACTGGAGTACAATTTGCTATCTTTCTTCAACCTAGAAGTGAGGAGTATTTCTGATAATTTCTGTTTTAAAATCACACTTTCATAGTTGGCTGCCTTCTGCTATGCTAACACTTAGCAAGGAAGCTATTTTAAAAAATATCCATCACAAGATTAAGCAGGACTGTTCATTTGAAAAAGACTTCTTTTTCCTCCTATTTCCAGATTTGTTTAAAAGAATTTTAAGTTAAACACAAAACTTTATATTTCTTTCTCTCAGTAGAATTTTCTTTCAATAGCAAAAGGTTTAGATTTGTTTGCTTTTGCTCTTTCTTATCAGGGCTCATATTAGCCCCGGTTTCTTAGTAACAAAAAATTATATATATATCTTGTAATGTTCTGTGTCATCCTCAGTTGATGTGAAAACTAGAACTCATTCAGAAATTAGCACCAATAATTAAGTTGCTTTCCTTATTAAGCATGATTCTCTTTTTGTATTGTATTTTGTTTGTATAAAATGTATAATGGAGGGAAAATTATGTTAATCTATTTGTGAATTTGGTAATCCATTAAGGAGTCATTATACTGGAATGGAAAGGAAAGAGGGATCTGATCTTACGGAGTACATAATTAATTACTCTTGTCAGAAGGGGGAAAATTGGCTGTTTTCTGTTTCACACAGTGGCATTCCCTCCATTTCAGAACAGCAAAGACAGTAGCAAAATCTATTGGCCTATAGCCTAATAAAATAAAGATTCATCCTTCCTCTTTTAAAATACAAAACTGTCAGTTATATCCCTTTGGTTTTTGCTTGATGTTTATGGTCCACCTATTATTTACTGGGCATCTCCCTCTGTTCTTTTGTAGGTACACCAGAAAGCCTAGCAGAAAAAGAGAGACAGCTCTCTACGATGATCACCCAGCTCATCAGTTTACGGGAGCAGCTTCTGGCTGCTCATGATGAGCAGAAAAAGCTGGCAGCATCACAAATAGAAAAACAACGGCAGCAAATGGACCTTGCTCGTCAACAGCAGGAACAGGTGAGCAACAAAACGTCAACATGTGAAAATAGGTATTTCACGCCCAGCATTTGGTAGATTCAAAATTCTCCCATCTACTCAATCTCCACCTACAAGTTCTGATATCTTTAAAAACAAGACTTTCCAAAATGCATAGATTCACTCTAGTCGGTAGACAGCATTGCATTGTTAATACATGGTGCCTACAGAAAGTTCTACATGGTCACATGTATATCTTTATATTGCTGGTGAAGAATGAATTAGTTGTAACAATATTGGGAAATAATCCACTCTATTGAATTTTTATTTTTTTAAATGCTTAAATGTAATTTTGTATTTTATAGTTGCTTGTAGACAAATACACATTATGAACTAGGTCTACTGTAGAGACAAATAAGACATTGGGTCAATGTGTTGAACTATTTATTAATGAATTCTCCCCTTTCCTAAACGTTCAGTGAAATCAGACTATGCTTCTGCAAATTGTTATTTATTTCAGATTCTTATTTGTGGCAGAATCACACTTAGTGGATTATGCTCATTGAGTCAAACTTTCCCAGCAATGACGATTGGTTTAGGAAACTTTTTTCTTCCTAGTTCATAGAATTAACATTTTTAAAACAAATTTATTAAGATGTGTTAAATTATTATCTGCTTGTCCATTAGAAGTTCAAAGCAAACTAGATCAGAATGAGCACTAGTACATACAGTAGAGACTAGAAAATAAACAATACTCTTAACTTGCTTTGTATAAAACCTTAAATGCCAAATGATTTCATGAGTTCCTTAGGCATTAGTTTCAAATTAATGTGCAGTTTTTAGGAATCCGACATTAAACTAGAATTATCTTTTCAGTTAAATGTGTTTTATAGGGTGTATATACAGCAATGTATGCTCTGTTGATTTTAATGAGTTGTGACGTCTGGTATTTTATGTGCTTGAATATTTGCCCACATGTAAGGAATATGGACTTGTCCCTAATGGAAAATAACATAAAGGAATACTGTAAAAAATCATAAGTTAGAATGTCATTTAGCCATCCAGAGATGACACAGTAATTAACTATTGACACTTGTGAATAAGCTAGCACAAATTAATCTTGACACATTTGCAGACGAGTGATATCTTACAGTGAACACTTTGTAATTATATTTCAAAATGAAAATTAAATGACACTTAAAACTAGGTTGTCATGCTCAATGAAGCGAGCATGTAGCTCAACCAATTGGCAAATAAAATTCAGAATTTGAGCCACATGGTGCTTCAGTACCAGCTTTTGCTGTGCTGAGCCCTATACATTGAGACGTTATCAAAGTAATTGCACTATAGTGTTTTGGATTCCTTTCCTGATCACAGCACCATCAATATTAGATGTCATGGTAGCACTTCATTGGTTTTCATAAGGAAATGAATATTCATCTGCTCCTATATATTACTTAGAACTGCAATGAGATGTGCACTAGCAAATTGTACTCCCACAAAATCAGTCCCGAAGCCTTCACCGTTAACACAGGACCTGGATCCAAGTCTTTTGAGTAGCATTTGCCTCTGCACGAGCATCTCTTTTTATGTATGAGCTTATTCCCCAAACTAAATGAATTTTATGTTGCTATTTAAGTTTTACCCCCACCCCAACAAAAACCTTCACATTTCTAGAAGAATTACTTATACTGATAAAATTTCACACTATATATAGAAATCTTGAAATCTTCAAACATGACAGTTTTAAAAGCACAATAAAACTGTAAACTAAATGCAAGAATAAAGTCTCGCAAATCTACCTCTCAAAAATCAGTATACTAATGGAATGGAATGTGAAGGAGCACCATGGTTGCAGGACTTAGGGTGCATTCATAGAATATAGAATATAGAAATGTAGAACTTAATGCAATTCAACACCAATTAAACTGCCATGGTTACTTACTTACTAAGGCGATCCCTCATTGGACGAGTAGGATAGTCTTCCATGATCAGTATTCTTGTGGATCCGTAGGTTGCTGTGGAGCCCTATTCTTGACCTACATCTTCTCCTACAGTGAGGGCATTGGTTTCCAGGTGGAAGGCAGTCTCAGTCGGGGTTAGCTTGATGCGCCTTCCTCCTGGCACGTTTCTCTCTTTCACCCTCCATTTGTGCCTCTTCAAATTCTGCAGAACTGCTGGACACAGCTGATCTCCAGCTGGAGCGGTCAAGGGCCAGGGCTTCCCAGTTCTCAGTGTCTATGCCAGAGATTTTAAGGTTGGCTTTGAGCTCATCTTTAAATGTCTTTTCCTGTCCACCAATATTCCGTTTTCCATTCTTGAGTTCTGAGTAGAGTGCTTTGGGAGATGGTGGTCGGGCATCCGGACAATGTGGCTGGTTCAGCGGAGTTGATGGCGGAGAACCATCGCTTCAATGCTGGTGGTCTTTGCTTCTTCCAGCACGTGGACGTTTGTCCGCTTGTCTTCCCAAGAGATTTGCAGGAATCGTTCCAGGAGTTGCATGTGACGTCTGTAGACAGTCCACGTTTTGCAGGCATATAGCAGGGTTGGGAGGACAATAGCTTTATAGACAAGCACCTTGGTATCCCTACGGATGTCCTGGTCCTCAAACACTCTCTCCTTCATTCGGAAAAATGCTGCACTCGCAGAGCTCAGGCGGTGTTGTATTTCGGTGTTGATGTTGACTTTGGTGGAGAGGTGGCTGTGAAGGTAGCGGAAATGGTCAACATTTTCTAATGTTTATTTATTTATTTACTTTGTTTATATACCGCTGTTCTCAGCCCAGGGGCGACTCACAGCGGTGTATAACATAGGAAAAACAAAATTCAAAACACAGTATAAAACAATTCTCAATCCATTACGCAAAAACATTATACAAAAAGCATTATACAAAACATTGTCATTACTATGAAAACCATTCAGCGTCGTCTCATCGTCCAAACCACAATCCAATATCATTTTCCGTTATTCCATTCCTATAGTCATTACCAATCATTGCACTTCTTGTTCGAACGCCTTCTTGAACAACCAAGTTTTAAATTTCCTGCAGAATATCATCAGGGAAGGAGCCAGTCTAATGTCCCTGGGAAGGGTGTTCCACAGCCGAGGAGCCACCACCGAGAAGGCCCTATCTCTCGTCCCCTCCAGCCGTGCTTGTGAAGCAGGCGGGATCGAGAGCAGGGCCTCCCCGGAAGATCTCAAAGTCCTGGTGGGCTCATAGGTCGAGATGCGGTCGGATAGGTATCTTGGGCCGGAACTGTTTAAGGCTTTATAGGCCAACGCCAGCACCTTGAATTGAGCCCGGTAGCAAATCGGCAGCCAGTGGAGCTGGTACAACAAGGGGGTTGTGTGCTCCCTGCGTCCCGCTCCTGTAAGTAACATGGCTGCCACACGTTGGACCAGTTGAAGCTTCCGGGCCATTTTCAAAGGCAACCCCACGTAGAGAGCGTTGCAGTAGTCTAAACGGGATGTAACCAGAGCGTGGACTACCGTGGCCAAGTCAGACTTCCCAAGGTACGGGCACGCTGGCGCACGAGCCTTAGCTGTGCAAATGCTCCCCTGGTCACCGCCGAGACCTGGGGCTCCAGGCTCAGCGATGAATCCAGGATCACACCCAAGCTGCGAACCTGCGCCTTCAAGGGGAGTGCGACCCCATCCAGCACAGGCTGTAACCCTATGCCCTGTTCGGCCTTGCGACTGACCAGGAGGACCTCTGTCTTGTCTGGATTCAATTTCAATTTGTTCGCCCTCATCCAGACCGTCACAGCGGCCAGCACCGGTTCAGGACCTGGACAGCCTCCTTAGTAGCAGGTGGAAAGGAGTGACAGAGTTGGACATCATCTGCGTACAGATGACATCGTACCCGAAACTCCGGATGATCTCTCCCAGCGGCTTCATGTAGACATTAAACAACATGGGAGACAGTATTGAGCCCTGTGGAACCCCACAAGACAAAGGTTGTGGGGTTGAACAGGTGTCCCCCAATAACACCTTCTGGGATCGGCCCTCCAGGAATGACCGGAGCCACTGTAAAACAGTGCCCCCGAGACCCATCCCTGCGAGGCGTTCCAGAAGGATACCGTGGTCGATGGTATCGAAGGCCGCTGAGAGGTCCAGCAGCACCAACAGGGACACACTCCTCCTGTCGAACTCCCGGCGCAGATCATCCACTAAGGACACCATTAAGCTGTATTTCTGGCATTGGAAAGGGATTGGCTGGTGACTGCTGGACAAGCACTTTGGTTTTCTCGATGTTCAATGACAGGCCGAGCTTCTCGTATGCTTCTGCAAAGGTGTTTAGAGTGGCTTGTAGATCTTCTTCTGAATGCGCACAAATGATTGTCATCAGCATACTGGAGTTTTATAATAGATGTTGTTGTTACCTTGGTTTTGGCTTTCAGTCTGCTGAGGTTAAATAGCTTGCCATCTGTCCGATAGATGATTTCCACTCCGGTGGGAAGCTTCCCATCAACAAGGTGAAGTATCATAGCGATGAAGATGGAGAATAAAGTTGGGGCAATAACAAATCCCTGTTTGATGCCTGATTCCACCTTAAATGGTCACTTTGGGAGCCACTGCTGTCCAAGACTGTTGCCGTCCTGTCATCATGGAGGAGCCGCAGGATGTTCACAAATTTGTTAGGGCACCCGCTTTTTTGGAGGATGGTCCAGAGGCCGCTGTGATTCACTGTGTCGAATGCCTTTGCAAGGTCAATGAATGCCATGTACAGAGGTTGATTTTGTTCCCTGCATTTTTCTTGGAGCTGTCTTGCAGTGAACATCATGTCCACTGTTCCTCTGGAGGGGTGGACGCCATTCTGGGATTCTGGGAGGGTGTCTTCTGAGAGGGGTAGAAGGCGATTTGCTAGGATTCTTGTGAGGATTTTCCCAGTTGAGGTTAGAAGGAAGATACCTTGATAATTTCCGCAGTCTGTTCTTTCCCCTTTTTTGAAGAGGTTGATGATGGTGGCATCCTTGAAATCTGCTGGGATTTTCTCGGTCACCCACACTTTTTCTATGAGCTGGTGGAGTTGTTGTGTCAGCTCAGGTCATCCCTCTTTAAAGATTTCAGCAGGAATCCCATCAGGTCAGCTGGCTTTCTTATTTTTTTGTTGGCTGATGGCATTGCTGACTTCTTCCAGGTTAGGCAGTGCTGCAAGCTCATCCCTGGTTTGTTGTTGCAGGATTTGTTAGAGAACCTCTTTGACCACATTGGAGCTGTGGTTCAGGAGGCTTTGATAGTGTTCTTTCCATTGTAGTGCAATTGAGTTTTGGTCCTTCAGGAGTTTGGTTTCATCTGATGAGCGTAGAGGCTGTATGCCATGGTTTCTTGGTCCATAGATGACCTTTGTGGCTTTGAAAAATCCCTGAGCATCATGGGAATCTGCCAGGTGTTGGATTTCTTCAACCTTCTTTGTCCACCAGTTGTTCTTGAGTTCTCTTGTCCTTCTTTGGACCTCAGCTTTTGCACTGGCGTAGATCTTTTTCTTAGCAGCACAGTTAATGTCTCTCTGCCATGTTTGGAAGGCTTTCCTTTTCTTGTCAATTAGCTGTTGGATCTCGTTGTCATTTTTGTCAAACCAATCTTGATGTTTCTTGGTTTGATATCCAATAGTTTCTTCGCAGCTGTCATGATGGAGGTCTTGAGTTTGTTCCAATGTTCCTCAACATTTTTGGGGTGTTCTGTGGGTAGATGGTCCTTTAGTGCTGTTTGGAGAAGGGCTCGTCTGGAGGGCTCCTGAAGGGCTTGGGCGTTCATTTTGCACCTTGTCTTTATTCCTTAGAGTATGTGCTTGGGGGCTATCTTGATAGCCGTTTTTGGATTGTATTAGCCTGTGGTCTGTCCAGCAGTCGTCAGCACCTGTCATGGCTCTTGTAAGGAGCACATCACAGTGATCTCTGGCACGTGTGATTATGTAGTCTAAGAGGTGCCAAAGCTTTGACTGGTGGTGCTTCCATGATGTCTTGAGCTTGTTTTTCTGGTGGAAGAGCATATTGGTGACGACAAGGTTGTGTTCCGCACATTTGGTGAGAAGCAGGGTGCCATTCGAGTTGCTGTTTCCAACCCCGTCTTTTCCTATGGTCCCTGGCCACAGGTCGAAGTCTTGCCCGACTTGCATTAAGGTCCTCCAGGAGGAGGATTTTGTCCTCCTTAGGTATCTCCGTTAGGACGGTGTCCAGCTGACAGTAAAAAATTTCCTTGATCTCTTCATCAGCATCTAGTGTTGGTGCATAGGCACTTATGATGGTTGCCTTTTGGTTTTTGGCAAGATCAATTTGGAGGGTTGAGAGTAACTCGTTGATGCCTGTGGGTGCTTCGGTCAGATGTTTCACCAGATCATTTCTGATAGCAAAGCCAACTGCATGCATTCTTTGGTCTTCTTCGGGCAGTCCCTTTCAGAAGAAGGTGTAGCCTCCTATTTCTTCCTTCAGCTGTCCTTCTCCTGCTCTCCGGGTCTCCTGAAGGGCTGCTATGTTGATTTTAAAGCGTCCCAGCTCCCTTGCAATGATGGCAGTTCCGCGTTTGGGGCGTTCACTGTCAGTGTTGTCCATCAGTGTCCGTACGTTCCATGTACCGAAGTTCATTTTTCTTTTTTGGCCACAGGGTAGTGACCCCACTGGACGCAGCAGTCCAGTCAGGGATAAGAGAGGCAGACTATGTTTAGGGCACCTTTTCTAGCCCATTCCTTGTGTGAGGTGAGCAGAGTGGGTCCTAAAAAGGGCTGCTTAGTCATGGATACAGCTGGTGAATTACTCAACTGCCTCGGACCTTGAGGTAGAATGACGGAGTCCGTATCCACCGCCCATGTGCCAGTCTATGACTAGGGGCTTCCAGATTTCACAGTCCTGCCCCCGTTGCCACTCGCTGATCGCCATGGGATTTCTGTTGGTTTGTTTTTATTTTCTTTGGAAGATGCCTGTGCATAAGTTTTTTTAATGTGTGGAGGTCAGTGCACAACTGATCAACACACAGTCTTCACAGAGTGAGTTTCCACTGGTGGTGTAGTTTAACACAATGACCGTGGCTTCTCAATTTGTTGCAGACTTCTTCCGCCTTCACAGCCACTTCATCCAAATAGAATTCCATAGCATTGAGCCATGTCAGTTAAAGTGGTGTCAAACTGCATTACTTCTACAGTGTTGATGATTCCTTAGTCATGTACCACCTAACTGCAATTTTTTTCTTATTTCAGATTCCCCAGAGGCTGTTAACAATTGGCATAATGATTCATTTGCTTTGCTACATATACAGTAATACTCCACATCTAGAAAACTAACAAATCGTCATAGGAAATATTTGTAGCCTTACCTATCTTTGGTTCTCATGCGATAGTACTCTGTGAGAATTTATTTCACAGAGAGCAAAATTCCAATAAGCAACCCAATTCCAAATGCCACATTTTGTATTATTCTAGATGTTTAAATCTTCTCTAACTCACTGTACTCTCATGCTTTTGCAGTGGAACTTCATCCTTTGACAATAGCAGAGTAACTGAACTTGAGAAGGATTGAAAACCAGATATTTAGAGCACTAGATTCCATACACATTTTTCAGCAGAGAACCCTGGAGGAGCTGTGCTTTGTGCTTGTACATATAGATAGTTGATTCTAATATATTCCTGTTACATAATTAAAGCTGAGGTTTGTTGTTGTTGATTTTCTTGTAACTTCAGCATTTTCTTTTCCCCCCTGAAATTTTGTGAAATAATTGCTATTAGGAGCAATGATGATGAAATCAATGCTTTTTTGCTTTCATTTATGAGGCTGAAGGTACCAAACATATTCTAGCATTATGATAAAATAGGGCATAGTAACTTATATATGAAGTACAGGATTCCACACAACAGCCTTGATGTCTTCAATCATACCCTCCTTGTAGGTGAAGAGTATCAGCCATAGCAGTGCTATGTCCTAAGCAAGTTAAAACATCTAAGAACAAATGACCCACTGGTTTTACCATAGTTGCAAGTGCCAACTGGATTTAGTTCACAGTCTTGAAAAATAGATTAGTGGATGAAAACATACAAACTTTTTTTCTATCCTTTAGTTAACTTATGGATGACTGAAGTTCAATGAAACCAAGAAGAAAAGTTTTGGAAATTATTATGGGGAATAAGTTTTTTGACTTGACTTGTTTTTTCTTAACAGTATTGAAACTTTTACATTTATTGTTTTCATTTAATGGAAAAATTATTTCTAATAGATTGCAAGACAACAGCAGCAACTTTTGCAACAGCAGCACAAAATCAATCTACTGCAGCAGCAAATTCAGGTCAGTGTGCTTTATTGCCCTCTTTTGATTATGCTTAAATTACATTTAGAGAAAGGGATATTCTCCTAAACCTGCAAAGTTTCCAGTAAAACTGTCTGCCTTAATAATTAAAACAGAAGCATAAAAATATTTTGGTAGTAACTGTCTCCCTAATAAACAGGATTTGTTTGAATGACATGCATTAATTCTTCCCATTTACAGATGTTTTGACTTATAACCACCAAACCTTTTGCAAGCAGAAATATATTGTAGTAATACAATCTGATAGTACTTGCCTTGTTCTTTGAAGTTCTTATATTTTTAAACCCTCCTCATAGCTATAGCAGTGTTATTAACACAAGTCAAAAAAATGTAAGAAAAAAGAATGGCATCTTTTCATACATACCTAGCTTAGTTGTTTATACAAACAGTCTGTTAGTGTATTGAACCAGTGTGATGGCGTGTGAGAAAGAGTCCCATGAGAAAGATTTTTTTTCTGATCTGAAATCGGGGGTGAAGGGGAGTTTGATGGCTGTTTGAAAAATATTTTTAAAGCCATAGCGGTAACTGCCCCTTCCCTATTTTTATTACACATGCCTGTGACTTCTCCCCTTCTAAATTCTCAATCTTCTTTCCCTCATTTCTGTAAAGATTATGTCATGAAAAGTTGCAACATCAAACTTCCAGCTCAGCAATGGTATCTACAATTTTGGAGATATTATGAGGCACCATAATTTTGAGGTTTCTTATAACTGGTTGGGAAATGTGATTGTGTGGACACAAACCTAAGAACTATCCCCTTCTCTGAGTGAAATCGTAAAAGGTGAGGGTTTAGTCCATCCTGGGAGAACCTAAAAAAGGCACCAACTCCCTCCACTCTCTCTGCTGTCATGTCTATTCTGACCTTTTTTGTCTGGGTAGGGAAATGGCAGTATCAGCAGTCAGGGATGGATGGTCTCCAGAGGCAGCCCTGACATTTTTCCCTCTTTGTGGCATGATCTTCAATGTATCTATAATTTTGGTCCCAAACCTGCCCTTGACCTATGCATGAGGTCAACATACATATTTCGCAAATTCAGTTCTGAAGGCTCATTTATTGCTGAAAGATAAAAATCTTTCATTGCAGTGATTTTTTATTCATAAGAAAGGTGATGGACTGAAAGTAGAGATTTTTCAACCATTTGCATGCTTGCTATCAACAGTGCCATATAGCTTCCTGTTGTCCCAGGCTAGTGAAATATCAAATATGTTCCCGAGTTTTCTTTTCTCAGTTCTACTTTCATGCAACAAGCCCCTTCCTTGCCTTGCATTCTGTTCTTCAAACATAGGTTAACAAGCATGTCACTGAGATCAAGTGGCAGTTCTTCTTCCTAAAAACATCTAAGTAGCCTCAAATCCATCTTGTTGTGCCCATGTGTTTTTTGCTAAGTTCTGGAGTTCAGCCACTGCTGAACATTTTGTCATTTCGTGCCAATCCAGTTGTTAAGGGTCTGTTTAGTGTGAGACACTTCTGTGGATTGCTTCTCTCTCTTGTGTGCATTGGGGAAATTCATTAAAGCATTTCAGGCAGGTTAAGCATGTCTCTTCTGTAGTGTGTTTGCCAGGATTCTGGTGGGCTTTTCATCTTCTCCTGGAGCATCTTGCAAGGAGTTGTCTTGGCTGCTGTTGGAACTGCTGAGCCAGTGCCATATCAAGCATGCAAACAAGACTCAAAAAGGGCACAGCGTTGTAAAGCAAATGAGTTAAGATTATTTTAGAAACCACCAGCTTTAGTCTGTTCATATAATGTATAGAGATATAGATATTTAATTATTGGCCCTATTTAAGAGATCAAGGTGATTAGTTTTTCATAGTTTGTAACAAATAAATATTGGTGGTTGTAATTTTTCATGTTTCTTTTCAGGAGAAGAAATAAAATAAAAGTATTCCACATACTGGGAGGGGATTTTGCTCAGCAAAAGCACTGTTCCTCTGTGAGAACATAAAGGTGTTCTCATTGCAGTATTCTATGTGAACAAGTGCCAGGACAACATTTTATTATGATTTAGACAGAGATGGATTATTCTGTCAATCATCACTTTGATTAATGGTAGTAGCAAAGGTAATACAGGTTGACTATGTCTTGTTTGAAATACTTGAGTCCAGAAGTACTTTAAATTTTGGAATACCTGTATTTGAACATATGTACATATTGAGATATATTGGAGATTGGGCCCAGGTCTAAACGTGAAGTTCATTTATGTTCCATATACACCTTAGCCTGAAGGCAGTTTTATACATGAACTTTTAATAGTTTTGATCAGGAAACAAAATGTGTGTAAACTGAACTATTAGAAAACAAAGATGTCACTATCTCAGCCACCAACATGCATGGTTTTGGATTTTTGGTTTTTTTAAAAATTCTGGACCATTTATTCAATTGCAAGTAGTAAGCTTACACGGTGTCATAATTTTTACATTTAAAGAATGAAAAATTCAATGATGGGTAATACTTGTCCCCCTCCCCACATTCAAAAAAGCATTTTTAGAAGATCAGGCAATTAACTTGAATTCCTGTGGTATCTATTCTATTCTATGTAGTCTAAAGAATTGAGTCCTTAATTACTTAATTGTGAGATAGACATTTATTTGTAAGATCCAGGCATATTGCATGCAATGAGTTGTGTTTCTTGTCTTGCTGGGCCAGTCTGATACAGTATACTGCATGCTGTGATTAGTTTTACTATTTTTCCTGCACTGCAGATTAAAGGAAAAGAATTGGTGCCAAAAGTGTCTTTACACAATACACTCTTACTTGACAGCTTGCAAAATGTGTGTGCCATTGTAAAATAATCAGTATAGGTGAATCTGCTACTGTTTCTTTAGCTCTCTAAGTAAAGAAAATGAAATGGACCCTAAGTCAAAAACCAAATGATACACCTGTATTTTCTTGTTTCAGTTATTTCAAACATTCTATAGCATGTCATAAATAGGTCCAAACCTTTTAAAAGGCCCTTAATTTTACTTTGGTTTGTGATTTTTACTTATTGAAATTTTCTCTTTGAATTTTATTCTAGCATTTGTTTTCACAAATATGTCTTTCTGGCTCTAGGAAGTGGCTTTCATGCTGGGTAGTTTAATATCAACAGACTTGCATTGTTTCATTTTATTAAAATCAGGGAGTGTAACAGTAAACAAAGGGGTGACAATATGAAAAATGACAACTGTTTAACTGTCCTTGAGTGTGAATAATTTGTGCTATACTTAAAACTTAAGAGGCTGAACTAACACATCTCTTTTCCTTATCTGTGATTAACTACTGACAATTGAGGTACCTGGTGAGCTGAATAAGGACCATCTCTTTACGTGGAGTGCATGTCTAAAGATCAGGAATAATTACATTCTACATTAGCCTTCATGGCCCCCACAACCTGGTTAATTAATTTTTTTGCTTGGATAATAATGGTAGGAATATATTTAAAAGATATGGGTTATTATTAAGTATCTAATTGACCTCCTATTTAAGAGCTGGGCCATTCATTTATTGCCTTCTGGAAACAGAAGAGATGTGGTAGAAGTTTGCTGAAGATGCAATGTCTGGAATGCTACTCACACGGGCTGAGGCTTTTCTTGCTTCGGTCCTCTCCCTTTGTTTGTAACCTGCATTTAGCAATGACAAGCAAAAAGCAATTACAGTCCTACTGTTCTGGCACAGGGGAATCACCCCCTTACCATTTTTGTTGTTGTTATTGATCACGAAACTGATCCTTTTCAACAAGCTCTGAACAGAACCAAATAAAGTTGTTGAAAGGAATTTGAGACATCTATTGGCATGCTTCATTGATCAGATGATCTCTTGAAAGAACAAAAACAAGGCTTGTAAGGAAAGCTCAAAAAATCTAAGAATAGCCCTCAACTTTAGTAAGCCTTCAAAATATTTTTCTAATTGTATCTTCAATCATGAATTAGCTAGGGAAACAAAAAACAAACAAAAAACCCGAAACCCATCTTTTCCTTTTATATTTCTACCACTGTGTGCTGTTTTTCATTGCCCATGGGCATGCTGCTGTGATCTTCTTTGGAACTTAGGGGAGAAAAAAGAGAAAATGCAAATCTAATTATTTCTTTTATCTAATTTAATTAGCCTTTAAAAGTTATGATAAATATACTTAATGCTTGCTTTGAATGTTTTCCGGATAAAAAGAGTAGGTAAACTCAGTGTTGTCTCCACAGAACACAGTTGAATGTATACAAACTTTATTCTAACTCAGTAAATTCAACCGTGGATTGCTAATTTCATTCCCTGGTATTGAAAAACAAGATTCAAGCAGTCAAAGCAAGGGTCAAAGCAGTTTGAACCGCATTATATGGTCAGTGTAGACTCATATAATACAGATTGAACTGCAATGAACTGGATTATATGAGTCTACACTCCCATATACTCCAGTTCAATCTGGAATACAATGACAGTTGAGATGGACTTTCATTGCACAATTATGTTCTTAGAACAGCAGCCCTACCACTGCATGGATAGCAGTCCTCCCCTTCAAGCTCATTCAGCATCTGGAAGCCGACCCACACTTCCACCCATTAACAGTATAATTAATTAAACGTGGTGGTCCTCCATTTTTGGAACTTGCTACCTGGGGAGATTAGGCATGCCCCTACCCTAGCAGCCTTCAAGAAAGTGCTAAAAACATGGCTCTTCCGGTGTGCCTTCAGAGAGTGACCACTCAACTCATTTGTTTGTTTCCACTTTTAACTGTCCCCATGATAAAGCAACTTCCCCTGTACTTTATAAAGGCCAAACCCCATTGCTCCTCCTTCTTGCCCCCCCCCCTCACACACATACACATATAATTCCTATCTCATCCAGGGTTTTAACTTTTAACATTTTATCTCATACATCTGGCCCGTCCTTTGTGTTTGATTTTACTATGCTATTTTATTCTGTTTTATTTTGTTATTTTATATATTTTGTTATGATGTATTTTTTGTTGTTTCTGTGTCTAATTATGTTGTATTATTTTTGGGCTTGGCCT